TTTAATGATATATTAGTATTTTATTTACATAGGCGCATTTATAACTGCATCTTTGATTTCAGTATTTGTTCATTGTTCGTATGTAGAAATGCCAGTTCCTTTGTGTTGATCTTGTATCCTGTAACCTTACTGAACTCATTTACTAATTTTAACATTTTTGTTGTTTGTTTGAAGATTCCTTGGAATTCTCTATATAATCATACAGTTTGCAAATAGAAACAGTTTTGTATCTTCTTTTACAATCAGACTGACCTCAAATTCTTTTTCTTGTCTTAGTACATAGCTGTACTTTTTAGTACTATATTAAAATAAGAGTGGTGAGAGTAGACATGAGTGGCGTATTTCTAAATTTAGACAGAAGCATTCTGACTTTCACCATTGTGTATATTAGCTGTTGTTTTTTAATGGGTTCTTTTTGTGAGTTTGTGGATCGACCCCTCTTTAGGAGCTACCCCTCTTTACTTGGTGTATTGATTTTTCTCTTGTGGTTGTTACAGTAGTTAAGTTGATTCATTTTTTAATTATTGAATCAACCTTGCCTATCTGAAATATACCATACTTGGTTGTGATATCTTACTTTAACAAATTTTTATTGTTGAATTATTTGCTTAAATTTTGTCAGGGACATTTGTATCTAAGTTGATGAAAGATATCTTGTGTGTGTGTCTGTGTGTGTGGTGCTGTCTTAGCCTTATTTGATATCAAAGTAATATTGGCCTTATAAAATTACTTGTGAAAATGGTCTCTCTTATTGAGTTCCTGGACAAGATTGTATGTGTAAGGTTAGTGTTGGTATATTATTTTAATACTTCACACTTCAAAAATACAAAACTTTGAGTGTCCTTGGATTTAGTTTCTTTAGATGTAATTTGTCTTTTCTACATGGTGGGAATATTTTAGATTTGAGTATTACTGTAGCCTCAATTCTCCAGTTATACTTCAAGAGTTTGTTTTGTTTTTCTTTTGTCTGCTCATTTGTTTTGTTTCCATAAATTCCATGTGAGGGAAATCATCTGGTATTTGTTTTTTTCCTTCTGACATTACTTAGTATGCTCTCCATTTTTTTTTTTTTTTTGTGATTATATATAAGGCCATCTATGCATTCACATACAGATATTTGGATAGATGTATTCACAATGCTTCATTTCTTATATAAATGAGTATGTGATTGCTGAGTAGTATGGTAGGTGTATGTTTTAACAATAAGAAGCTATAAAACTACTTTTATAGTTTTTATAGTGTTTTGCATTTCCACCACGAATGTGTAAAAGTTTCAGTTGCTCCCCTTATTTACCAGAATTTGAGTTTGTCCTTTTTGTTTGTTTGTTTGTTTTAGTCATTCTAATCAATATTAGAGTTAGCATTAATTAGGTAAATGGAAACTAAAACTATCAGTTACCATTCATATAATGAAAAATGTCTTTCATTCATATCTCGTTGGCAAAATGTCTGCAAAAATCCTTTGCCTAGCTTTTAGAAATTAGGTAGTATGTCTTACTGACTTTGTAAGGGAGCTCTGGATTCTGAATACCAAGTTCTTTTTTTTTTTTGATATATAATTTGCAGGAATGTTCTCCCTGTCTAATAATTTTTTCCCTTACCTTTCAAAGAGGTTTAAATTTTAATGTTCAGCTTATTAGTTCATTCTTCTGTAGCTCATGTGTATGTGCTAGGAAATCTTTCATAATTTAAGGTCACCAAGATACATTATAAATTCTTTTAGACATTTTATAGTTTTAGGTTTTATTTTAGGTCTTTGAGTTTATAGTTAACTTTTATAAGTGGTATTAGATGAATTGAGGCTCTCTTTTATTTTGCATATGGATATCTAGCTTTTTCAGTATTAGTTACTGAAAAGATCTTTCTTTCTACTGACATGCCTTGGCATCTCTGCTGTGTGTATTGGTTGACTATATATGTTTCTATTTCTGGATTCTTTGTTTTGTCCCACTGACACCTTTGTCTCTTTTTTTCACTAAGACTACAGTGTCTTGATTGTTGAAACTTTATAGTAAGTCTTAAAAACAGGTCATATGAAATCTCTTTTGTACATCCTCTTCAGAATTATGTTGGGTGTTCGTTTCCTTTGCTTTTCCTTATAAGAGATAGTTTTTAAAAAGTTTAACTAATCAAAACAATTAACCAGTTTAGTAAGGTATCAGGATATAAAATCAACACACAAAAAGTCAGTAACCTTTCTATACACAAACATCATTAAAATGTCATTCTGCTGAAAACAATACACAGATTTACTGCTATTCCAGTAAAAAACTCAACGTCAGTCTTCAAAGAAATAGAACAAATATTAATGAGATTTATCTGGAACCACAAAAACCCTTGAATAGCCAAAACACTCTTGACTAACGCAAAAGAGAACGGAAGCATCACACTCTTAAGACTCCAAGATATACTAAAGCCATAATTATCAAAACTGCATAGTACTGAAAAAAGAATAGACATACAGACTAGTGGATTTGAATAGAAAACCCAGATATAAACCCACAGGTTTATGGACAGCTAGTCTTTGACAGAGGAGCAAAGAATATGCAATGGAAAAAAGAAAATTTGTTCAACAAATGGTGCTGGGAAAACTGGACTGCTGCATGCAAAAAAAAAAAAAAAAAATGAAGCTAGATTACTACCATTCACAAAAACCAACTTGAAATGGATTAAAGAACTAGACATAAGACCTGAAACCATAAAATGTCTAGAAGAAAAGGTGGGTGAAACACTACATGACATTCACCTCAGTAACATCTTTAAAGATACATCACCCAAACCAAGGGTAGTGAAGGAAAGGATAAACAGCTGGGACTACAAGTTAAAGAGCTTCTGTACAGCAAAAAGACACTTTACAAAACAAAGAGACACTCCACTGATTGGGGGGAAATATTTGCATACAATACTAATGGCAAAATACTGATTACAAAGATATACAAAGAGCTGATGAAACTCAACAAAAATAAAGTGAACAACCCCATTAAAAAATGGGCAGACTGGCCCTCCTTGGTGGCGCAGCTGGTTAAAGCACAGCACTGGGAAGCTAAAGCCACTTCCACATGCGTTCAATTCCCGCCTGCCCTGGAGGTGACCACATGGTGTGGCAGACCTCTCCTGACCCGCCCGCTGCTCCCCTCAGCAGTGTACTTCGTCGATCTGCCTTTTCTGTTCCCCACCCTGTCTCTGGTGGAGCCTCTCGCCGCCCCTGAGCCTCTGGCCTGTACCCCAGTTCTGTATGCACAAAAAAATAAATCTTTAAAAAAAAAAAAAAAAGGGCAGACTAGCTAAAAGGCACTTCTCCAAAGAGGAAATGCAGACAGCCAACAGGCATATGAAAAAATGTTTAACATCACTTGTAATAAGGGAAATGCAAATTAAAACCACAATGAGATAACGTCTCACACTAGTGATAATGGTACATCTTAAAACAACTAGCAACAACAAATGTTGGAGAGGATGTGGAGAAAAAGGAATTTTTCTACACTGTTGATGGAAATGCAAACTGCATGAAATGCAACCACTATTGAAAGCTGTTTGGAGGTTTCTCAAAGTGCTAAAAGTGGAGCTTCCATATTACCTAGCAATCCCACTCCTAGGTATCTACCCAAAAAGCACAAAAACCTTGACTCAGAAGGACAGCTACCTGCACCCCCATGTTTATTGCTGCTCTGTTTGCAATAGGGAAGACATGGAATCAACCCAAATGCCCAAAAGTCGATGACTGGATTAAAAGGATGTGGTATATATACAATGGAATATTACTCAGCAATCAAAAAATAAGCTCATGCCTTTTGCAGCAACATGAATGGAGCTGGAAGGGATCGTGCTTAGTGAAATAAGCCAGTAAGAAATAGAAAAATACCAGATGGTTTCACTTATAGCAGGACCTTAAAGGATCGGGGGGGGAAAAAAGGGGGGGGGGAAGAAAAGAAAAAGCATTTGTAATAAAGTAAAAACAAAAAACAATGAACAGCTATAAACAAGAGACATTTTATGGGGGCGGAGAGGGGAATGAGATAAAAACTAGTAGATTGGGAAGAATGCACACTGTGGTGATGGCACATGGGTGAATTCGTGCTGGGAAGTCTATGAGGATTACAACCAAGATGAAATAATGCATAAAATGAAAAATTATGTTAAAAAATAAAATAAATTAAGTCTGAGTTACAGTGTAAAATCTGAAATTATTGATGAACCTTTGTCTTATGTAACATTAAAATGTATTGGCTGTCTTGAACATTGAATGGATCTTTTTACCCATGAATACTTTTGTAGTATCACACATAATTTATTTGGAATATATTGGTTTCCTGAATTACATAGACCTTCTAAGTATTGGCACTAAATATTCAGTATTTGAAAGTCACATTTGTTAATAGTACCTCTGATCTCATCAGAAAGTGCTTCAATTATTGGGAAGGTATAAGGCTAGTGGTAGTGTATACATTTTCCAAAATTCTTATTCTGGCTTGAAAACTCAAACTTTATCATTGGCCATGCATACTGTAAGTTGTTTGTTTTCTTTCTTTTTTTGAAGTAACAGATTTGCTGGGTTCATTTTTGATGACATCTGTCAGTTACCTAAGTTTGAATAATTGTGGTTGGTTTTATGTACTATTCAATCATGCAAAGATTTTTTTCTGAACCACCATAGTATCAGTTGTGCTTTTGTTTAGTATACATTTAGTTACAGAGTATTATAAAGAAGACCACTCATGAATCAAGATTTAATAAAATTAATTTTACTTTCTTTTATCAAGGACATTATTGTATGAAATGAAACTGACCTTTCTAGAAAATTCTTGAAATATGTGTGTCTCTTTTGTTGTGGTCAATATTCTCATAGTACAAAGAGTGATCTGAAAACATAAACCTAATGTTAGATTAGGAAGACAGTATAATTACTGACTTTTAAAAAGTATAAAGTTGCAATGCTGGGACATCATCTCTTATTTTAAAAGCTAACAGTTACATTAAGTTGTTGTTTTCTTGTCTTATAGGTGCTATACTTGGTAGATCAGAAACTCAGGAATGTATTTTCTATAATGCTAATTGGGAAAGAGATAGAACCAATCGAACTGGTGTTGAACCCTGTTATGGTGACAAAGATAAACGGCGACATTGTTTTGCAACGTGGAAGAATATTTCTGGTTCCATTGAAATAGTAAAGCAAGGTTGTTGGCTGGATGATATCAACTGCTATGACCGGTAAGGAAAGATTTTATTTTTTAAGACAGTGTTGAATCATTTTCATCACTTCCTCTCTTTGTAAAAGAGGGAGAGGTCAATGCATGAATTTTCACTTAAATGTTTCTTATAATGGGGTTTTAAAGACCATTATAATATGCTCTAATCACACAATTCATATTTTAAAATAATAAAATAAATACATGTTTGTCTTATCTTCAGTATCCTTTAAACAGTCTCCAAGTGGTAAGAACTATTAAGAATAATTTCTTCCTTTTGTTGTTAGAATTACAATTTTTTTAATAAATACCAACTTTAAAATGTAAGGATTGTAAACATTGCTTTAAAAGAGAGTATATCTGTTGAAAATCTACCCTCAAGGAGAGTAAGGCTTAATGGTAGTATTTAATTTCCTTCTTTATGTACCTGGAAGAAATTGATCTTATTACATTTTCCTTCTTTTTTTCTTGTAACGTAAGCCTTTGTTCTATACCCCAAGAGACATTTTAGATTGATGGTCAGGATTACATTAAAACTAATGGAGTCCGCACAGAAAGCTACATATTACTTAAAAGATAGTGCTTAAATTGTTTTATTCTATACTGGAAATAAAACACAATGAACATTTTATGACTGCTTGTGATCTTTCTGTAAGGAGTCCTGTAGATGCTGGGCTGATTATTTAAACTATCTGGGCTGTAAGATTCTACTGTGGCTGGTGGTAATAATTGGTAGAAGTTGTAAGATCCTAGATAACCAGACTTTTTGGAGCTTAGAAATGCTGATATACTCACGAATACTAGATATTTCCCTATTCACAGTTAGGAATCTTAATTACCATGAATCTGTGATTGGTAAGCCATAATAGCAGAATGCATTGAGTAAACTAATGAAAAATAAATGAACTCTATATTTCGTGAGAAATTAAAAGTCATTTAGGTATATATTTAATATATTTACTTATATATAGTATTTAATACATAGTTCTAAATCTGGAAATTTTCCAGGGATTAGTTCTCTCTAATTAATACATTTTAGCTGAATTTCTTATTTACCCTTTCTACTATCAAAGCTATTGTCAGGTGATATATTCTATTATAAAAAGTAAGTAGGGCACACACACACAAAAAAAAGTAAGTAGGGCTAGTATGGAAAAATATTCAGAGGTTCCAGAAAAAATAGAATTACGATCCATTCCATTTCTGGATAGTTATTTAAAGGAAAAGGAAAACTAACTCAAAAAGATAAATTATTTACATGTTCAGCAATATTTTCAATAGCCAAGACATGTGAAAATACCTAAGTATCCGTTGATGAATGCATAAAGAAAAAACCACATATGTATATATGTAATACATACATACATACATACATAGCCTATTATATGTGCACATAGGTGTATATATTATATATACATAAATTAGGGGTGTATGTTGTGTATTGTGTGCTCAGGACACTATGCTAAATGAAATAAATCAGCAAGTGACAAATGCCATAGGGCTGTCACTTGTAAATAGTATCTAAAAATCAATGCCAAAAAAAAAAAATGTGCTGAACAGATAGATACAGAACAAATATGAACAGATAGGTGGTTGCCAGAGGCAGGAGCTGAGGGTGGGGTGAGCAAGACAGTGAAAATGGTCAAATGGTTAAAATTTCCAATTATGAAACAGATAAGTCCTATTTAAAGCATGTAAGTATTGATCTTCCCTGAAACCCTAGAGTTAGAGGACTATTATCACTGTAATCTAACCTAAGTTCTATTCCCAGCTGGGGAGCTAATCCACATATGATGAGCAGACCTCTCCTGTCCTACCTACTGCTCCCCTCAGCAGTGTATTTCAGTAGGTCTGCATGTTCTGCTCCCCACTCTTGTCTCTGGTAAATTTTTCTCATATCCTGCACCTCTGTCCTACACCCCAGTTCTATGCAAAAGGAAAATAAGCCTTAAGTATATGATATATATCATGGTGACTATAGTTAATAAAATTTTATTGAATAACTGAATATCTGAAAGTTGCTAAAAAATAGATCTAAAAAGTTGTCATCACAGTGAAAAAGAATTATAAGCAACTATAGTCCATTTACCAAAAGTTTGAATACTGGCGATCTTTACCTAATACACATATTGAATCATTAGGTTGTATATTTGAAATTAATAATGTTATAGCAGTTTATATGTGTGTGTGTGTGTATTTGTATAATTTTTTTTTAAAGAAAAATAAGAATTTATGGAAAACTGTGTTTGGCAGAATCATCTTCATTTGAAACTTGTATTAGTTGAAATTAGGAATCCCTGTTCTTTTTATAGTGCTTTTCATCTAAAACCAGAATCTCTGGATAATGGGGATTGAGTGGTTCAATGCAAATGATAATTACTACATCAGCTTTATTTCTGAAGGTTAATGCTAACTTAAGAGTATGTGACTTTTTTGCTTTTATGCTCTGAATTTGATTCAAAAACAAATATTAAGGCTACTAAGAGAAGAGTCAAGAAATGTCAAGGTGTGAGGGTAAAGACAATGATAAAATAGTGAAATTGGATAGAGAAAACTAATTGTCTTGAGTTAATTAAAATAGATATTTAATCATATTAAATTAAAATTTGAGGCATGATTCTAAATGTTAAATTTAAATATGCATCTCTTTTTTATGAATTGTTAGAACAGCTTTCATTTGTCTTTAACTTTCTTCATAGTATTTATTTTTAAAAATGATTTATTATGTATACAGAACTAGGGTACAGGCCAAAGGTGGGGGGGTGCGGTGAGAGGATTCACCAAAGTGGGAAGCAGAACAGGCAGATTGACAAAGCACACTGCTGAGGGAGCAGTGGGCAGGTCAGGAGAGGTCTGCCAGGCCATGTGGGTCACTTCCCTGACCAGGGATCAAATTTGTGTTGCAGTGGTTGTGATAGCTTTATAGTGCTGTGTTGTGCCACCAGGGAGCACCCTCCACCTAGTACTTACTAACTTTAAGGTTTGATTTTTGTTAAAACTACAGCCTTGCTGAAGTTTCTTGAACTTTCCTCCTTGAGCTTTTTTAAATTGTGGTAAAGTTAAATTCAGCCTTATTGTAACAACCATCACAAAAATGCAGCTTATTTTGATAAGGTATGTCTTATCTGATGTTTAGTAGTAGTATGTGAATATTTGAATTATTTTTCCTAATAGTATAACTTTTCCTTGTGTTGGTTAGGATTTGTTCCACAGATAATCCTAAAGTTTCTGCAATTCAGGTCCTATAGAGAAGGCTGCATTTTTTAAAGTTATTAAGTCCTATATATTTATTTTTAGCAAGTATTCTCTCCTTGTTGCCTGTTTGTTTATTGTGTTCAGGGAATTTAAATCTACTACCAAAAAAAATGACATTCTTAATTCCCAAGCCTACTTTGGGCCTGCTGTGTTTTGATACATTCTGTCATGAGTCATGAGCTTACTTCATTGTGTGTGTGTGCATTTATATGTATTCTTGTGTGTATTTAGTTATGTGCATGCATACATAGTGCTATTTCAGTATTCATGAAATGGATGTTTCCTGTGAGATCAAACACTCCTTGAACACTTCAGTTTCTTCATTGGTTTTATGATTCTCTGTAAGATTTTCCAGTAATGAGAAAAGAGAGATGTTTACTTCAGATTGATCTTTAAAAACCAAATTAAAGCATAGTCTCAGTGAGCCAGTGTGATGTTATAAATCAGCAGTACATTTTTTGTCTGATATTAAAAAGCACGATTCCATAAACTTTTTTGACTTCTAAAATACAATCACTAGGGATTACAAAAATGTTGAAATTGACTATAAGTGACTTATTCACTATGAGAAAAATACTTAATGTAGATCCAGTGTAATAATGTTGAATTTTAAATTATTTCTCCTTTGTTTGTTTATAGGACTGATTGTATAGAAAAAAAAGACAGCCCTGAAGTATATTTTTGTTGCTGTGAGGGCAATATGTGTAATGAAAGGTTTTCTTATTTTCCGGAGATGGAAGTCACACAGCGTAAGTGCACATAGGTCTGTTCAACTAGTAAACTGAAAAGAAGCATATTTGTATTGATAGAATAATTTATTCCTGCTTTCTCCTGCTCTTTAGTTTTCTCTTAAAAGTTTATACTATACGAGTTATTGCAGACTTTTGAAGATCAAATTTGAATTATTTTTCTCCTCCCCTTTCCACAGCTACTTCGAATCCAGTTACACCTAAGCCACCCTTTTACAATATCTTGCTGTATTCCCTGGTGCCACTTATGTTAGTTGCTGGGATTGTCATTTGTGCATTTTGGGTATATAGGCATCACAAGATGGCTTACCCTCCCGTACTTGTTCCAACTCAAGTAAGTTATTGTCTTGTACTTTGATTTATTTCAAATTTTATTCTTTAAAGAAATTTTGTAAAACCCATTAGGATGTTAAAAATCATTTTCCTTTAGAGTTAATTTTTGATTGTTTATTGTCATGGGAATTATAGCTAATTTTGCAAACTTGTTAGTATTCTCTTATAAAAGTTGGAGTAGAATTCCTGTTCTTGTTATTGTGGTATTTAATGTATGAGATATACCTTGCTTTTTGTTTCTTTAGAAGTAATTGGTGATGGAGAAGTAATATCATAATTCTTTCTTTCCCATAGATTTATTTTCTACATTCCTTAATTTTTTGCCTTTCTACAAAATCTTTTGCCAAAACTTCTTTTTAACCTATGGGGAGGGACCTAGTACCCAGCAAAGTATGAGAAAAAATTTTTTGTGAAGGAAGATATATCCATAAAAATGTTTTTGGGAAGTAGCTGAAGAATGGCATCTCTCATCCTGGGTTGCTGGTAGTTCCAAGTATATTTTTTGTTTGTAGCATATTAAGTGTATACTGACTACCCTTAATTCTACGGGGTACCTTAAAATCTCCTTGATTTTCACAAACCTTACTCCAAATATGTCAGAATATAGGTATGACATATAATCAAATTGAATTCATTAATTTTTCCTCATTCTCTGTCATGTAGACCATTTGCACTGTTCAGTGCCTTACCAGGACCTTTACTATAAGGTGTTAATATTCTGTACTCTAAGGAAAGATGATATTCTGCAGACTAAGGAAAATGACAAGTTTTGGTTATATTTGCTTCAGACATCTCTGAACTCTAGTTTTTACTGTTTATTTTAACTTTTAAGGTCAAATTTCCTTGGCCTTCTGGATTTCTTTATTTAACCTTGTTTTCTCTAACATCAGTAGGAGTAGTGGTTAAAACCTGATAAAAGAAAATGGGAAAGTCCTATAATTTAATAACTAAAACAGCTTTTTCCTTTTAAGCTTTATTTATATAATACTTCTTTCTCAGTATTTGTAGCAATCTGTTAGTATTAAACTCAAAGGTAAAATACCATATTTAATAAATCAGATAAACATGCCATTTGGTACAGCTGAAAAGTTTTAGCTTTAAAATTGTAACTAAGTTGTGGGTTTTTTATTTTTTTTTTTTAAGATTTATTTATTCATACAGAACTGGGGTACAGGCCAGAGGTGCAGGGGTGGTGAAAGGATTCACCAGAGACAGAGTGGGGAGCAGAACAGGCTGACTAATGAAGTACACTGCTGTGGGGAGCAGTGGGTGGGACAGGAAAAGTCTGCTGCACCCTGTGGGTCACCTCGCTGGCCAGAGATTGAACTCATGCTTGAAATGGCTGTGGCTAGTTTTGTAGTGCTGTGCTTTAACTGGTTGTGCCAACAGGGAGGTTCCAAGGTCTGTTTTCTTTTTTTTTAAGATTTATTTATTCATACAAAACTGGGGTACAGGCCAGAGGTGCAGGGGCAGTGAGAGGATTCACCAGAGACAGAGTGGGGAGCAGAACAGGCCCACTAATGAAGTATACTGCTGAGGGGAGGAGCAGGAGAGGTCTGCTGCACTGTGTAGGTCACCTCCCGATCAGGGATCGAACTCATGCTGAAGTGGCTTTAGCTTCTTAGTGCTGTGCTTTAACCTGCTGCCCTACCAGGGAGGGCCCAGTTGTGGGTTTTTTTAAGGATCTTTAAAACATTCTAAAGTAACATTTTAGTTTATTTCAAATGGTCATAGAATACACTTTACCTTTTGTTGGTGATATTCTTTGCTTAATAGAAAGAAAAGAGAGTACTGTAGTGATAGCTGATTTTACCTTGAGTCTGATAATAGGAACAAGTGGAAGACTAGATTAAAAACAAATTTGTTAATAAGTTTAAAAATAATGATGTGCTTGGGAAAAAATAATGTAATGGTATAGATTAACATTCACTACTATGTTACAGTATACAGTTGAACATTGTTTAAGGGTCAGATATCTTAACATATGAGACCACTTTAAGGTATTAATTCAAGGGTTTATAATTTTCAATAGAAAAGATGAATGATTATTCATAAATCAAACCAGAAATCTTCAATGAGTATCCATATATGTTGTTTTAGAAATTTGTGGGCATGGTTAATGTTGTTGTACAAGTTTATCTAGTACTTGATAGCTCTGTGGTGAATTTGCATGATCTTTACGAATTACTGAAGAATAAGGAATAAATTTTTAAGTTTTATGATGGAGTGACTTGGATGAATGGTCAAACTATTTTGTAGAAAAGGGTTCTGTCTTCATTGTGGAACTCCATTTATGTTAACTTTCACTTTGTCTCAAATAATGTAATGGCTGTTTTAAGTCTTATTTTTAGTGAAAGATTTGTACAAACTAGTTCTGCAAGAGTAGTGACCATCTTTTACACAGTTCTCATTTCAAAATTAAGTTAATATCATCAACTATTTGGCACTATATATGTAACTATAAGTTACATATAAAGATATGTAAATTATATAAGAATATTCAAAAAGCACTTAAAATATTTCATTGTTTTTCCCTCAAAGATTTCTAAATTGTGACTGGTAGATAAGAGTCACTATAATTTTTTAAAAAAATTACCAATTCCTGAAAACATGGAATGGGGTCTGGGATATTTTATTTCTGATTAATTTTCCAAGTGATTTTGGTGACCAACCAGATGTGGAAAGCACTGATTTTACCTCAGAGTTGTCTAGAGTGTAATTCCCATTTTACATATATAAAAAAGTTGAGATATAGGGAAGTTTACTAGGTCAGAACTGGAATCTCTGAGATGAAGCCAATTATTCTCTGAAATGAAAAAAACTTTTTTGCTTCCCAGCTTCTTTTGCTGTTGTTGTCCCTTTCTTTTTTTCCAGTAATTTAGTGAGCCCCTCGTATCTCAAATCATTCTGTAGATTAATTTGGATGGGGGTAATTTGACAACTAAAGTGAGCAGTAGCATCATCACATGTCTCACATAGGGCAAAGGGGAAAAGAAACAAGTCATAAATGTATGGAAAGGCACACATGTATTTTCCATTAAAATTTTTTAGCACATTTAGAATAAATTTTATGAACATGTAATTGGATTGTAGGTAGATTCTTGTGTGCTCTTTGAGTTGATAATGCTAATAATGCCTGCTAGTTCAATACCTTTGAGGAATAGGAGATGTAAGGAGGGAAGATATAATACAGTTTGAATTTCTGTATTAGTACACAGTTGATTTCTGTATTTCATCCCATATTCATGCCCCCACATTTAAAGTTTAACTCCAAGACCAGATCAAGACTTAAATTATGTTTGTAGATTTCCAGAGCATTTGTCCTCAAAATTCTTCATATATTTTTAGACGTGATCTAATATTTGTTGTTCCTTTTCTTAGGGAAATTTTTCTTTACTACTTTAGTGATTTGTGAATTAACCAGTTTATTGAAAGGCATTAGTCTCCTCATGGTGGTAACCTATTGATGAATTATTCCTACAACAAAATTATACTTGAAGATAATTTACAGAGGTTTTCGGTAAAGCAAACTGAAGTTACATATATTGTGCTTATTTCTTGGTCTTAGTCTTATTTTCTTATTGGGGATAGAAGACCAGTGGTGTGGGTCACTCTAGAGTACTAAGAAATTGTCTCTTGTTAATAATAAGTTAATTCTGGCAGTTAAATGGTAGGATTCTTTTATATTTAAAACACCACAAGTTTTTTGTTTGTTTGTTTTAGGATTTCTTCTGGTTTTGGTAGTAGTTTATTTTGAAGAAGCAGTGTTAGGAGTATTTATTCTTTAAATCTGGGTTCTAGGTAAGGTTCTTAGTAGCCAATAAAAATTATTTATTCTAGAACAACTTAAGCATTAAACATAGTTAAAAGCATAGAAAAAAGTATCTGCCTTTTTTTTTCTTTAACTTAAGCTGTTCTGTCTTTCTATTTTCTTACTTTATAGCCTTAAACAAACGATTATGTGTCTGATATTGTTTCACAGCATCACAATGTTCCTAGTGACTCTGGTGAAAGCCTTGGAGACAACTCCTTTTCCTATTCTGGCCCTGTCATTTGCCAGGTTTTGTTAATTTACCTTTTCTTTCTCCCTTTACCTGTTAGTTCAGGACATTGTTGCACCAAGACTAAGATTATATAGATAGCTGGTCTTCTTGCTGCTTCTTTTCACCATCTGTACTTTTATTAAAATAGCCTTTTGCTGTTTTTGTTACATCTGTGCTTAAAAATGTTTGAGGGTTCTCATCATCCAAAGCAAAAAAAATGAAGTTTAGATTATAACGTGTAATCTTTCATACTTGAGAAATGCTCATGTATGTGTGCTGTTTTCCCACATGATTGTAAATTACTTAAAGACAAGGAACATATTATAATCACTACTCTATCTTGCATACATTTAACAACCATTCTGTAAGTCATTAATTACTATATTGGCTTTGTTGTACTTAGAGTTATATTGAGATGATAGTATGTCCAGGGTTCCTTTAATAAACATTTAGTTGCTTTAGGACTGTGCCTTAAGATAATATAATAAGCCTTATTTCTGAGGTAAAATAAGGTGAGGTATTCCATGCTTTTGAATACTATTATTTAACACTTCCTATAATCACAAGCTTGAAGTATCCTTTTAATTTGTATTAATTCAGTCTTGTCTATTTTGCTTGTGCTGAAACTGTCTCTCCACCTGTAGAAAATTCTCTTATAAACTGCAGTGAGTAAACTGAGCACTAACTGGTTTTTCTAGTGCCAGTGAGTCACAAATATGAGGGAATTGATACATTGACTCTATTATTAAGAAGTCTTATTGTCAATGGTTAATGTGGTTTCAGTAAAACTGCATCATTTTCATAATCATTTGTGAGCTTAAATTTCTTGCTTATGTAATCTGTTCCAATTAAAAAATACCACTTGATGAGAAAATGGATTTTGGGGGCAAGAAATTACCCACCTTTAACAAAGTAACTTGCTCATTCTTAAAGCTTTATAGCAACAGTAAAATTACTT